AATGAACAAAGTCTCCAAGAAATGTGGGACTATGTGAAGAGACCTAACCTACGTTTGCTAGGTGTACCAGAATGTGACATAGAGAATGAATCCAAGCTGAAAAATACTCTTCAGGATATTACTCAGGAAAATTTCCCCAACCTAGCAAGGCAGGCCAATATTCAAGTCCAGGAAATACAGAGAACAGCTCAAAGACATTCTGCAAGAAGAGCAACCCCAAGGCACATAATCGTCAGATTCACCAGGGTTGAAATGAAGAAGAAAATACTAAGGGCAGCCAGAGAGAAAGCTCAGGTCACCCACAAAAAGCCCATCAGACTCACAGCAGATCTCTCGGCAGAAACCCTACAAGCCAGAAGAGAGTGGGGGCCTATATTCCACATCCTTAAAGAAAAGAACTTTCAACCCAGAATTTCATATCCAGCCAAACTGAGCTTCAGAAGTGAAGGAAAAATAAAATCCTTTGCAAACAAGCAAGTACTCAGAGATTTTGTCACCACCAGGCCTGCTTTACAAGAGCTCCTGAAAGAGGCACTACACATAGAAAGGAACAACCAGTACCAGCCATTCCAAAAACATACCAAATGCTAAAGAGCATCAACAAAATGAAGAATCTGCTTCAACTAATGGGCAAAACAGCCAGCTAGCATCAAAATGGCAGTATCATATTCACACATAAAAATATTAACCCTAAACATAAATGGGCTAAATGCACCAATCAAAAGACACAGACTGGCAAATTGGATAAAAAGCCAAAACCCATCAGTGTACTGTATCCAGGAAACCCATCTCACATCCAAGGATACACAAAGGCTTAAAATAAAGGAATGGAGGACGATTTACCAAGCAAATGGAGAGCAAAAAAGAGCAGGGGTTGCAATTCTCATCTCTGATAAAATAGACTTTAAAGCAACAAAGATCAAAAGAGACAAAGAAGGTCATTGCATAGTGGTAAAATGATCGATACAATAAAGGAGCTAACGATCCTAAACATATGTGGACCCAATACAGGAGCACCCAGATATATAAGGCAAGTTCTTGACGACTTACAAAGAGACTTAGACTCCCACAAAATAATAGTGGAAGACTTTAACACTCCACTGTCAATATTAGACAGATCAAGAAGACAGAAAATTAACAAGGATATCCAGGGCTTGAACTCAGACCTGGAACAAGCAAACCTGATAGAAATTTACAGAACTCTCCACCACAAATCCACAGAATATACATTCTTCTCAGCACCACATCACACCTACTCTAAAATTGACCACATAATTGGAAGTAAAGCACTCCTCAGCAAATGCAAAACAACTGACATAATAACAAACAGTATCTCAGACCACAATGCAATCAAGCGAGAACTCAGAATTCAGAAACTAACTCAGAACTGCACAGCTTCATGGAAACTGAACAACTGGCTCTTGAATGTTGACTGGATAAACAATGAAATGAAGGCAGAAATACAGAGGTTCTTCTAAACCAACGAGAACGAAGACACAACATACCAGAATCTCTGAGAAACATTTAAAGCAGTCTCCAGAGGAAAATATATAGCAATAAGTGCACATATGAGAAGAGTGGAGAGATCCAAAATTGACACCCTATCGTCAAAATTGAAAGAGCTAGAGGAGCCAGATCCAAAAAACTCAAAACCTAGCAGAAGACAAGAAATAACTAAGATCAGAGAAGAACTGAAGGAGATAGAGACACGAAAACCCCTTCAAAAAATCAATAAATCCAAGAGTTGGTTTTTTGAAAAGATCAACAAAATAGACCACTAGCCAGACTGATAAAAAAGAAAACAGACAACAACCACTAGCCAGACTGATAAAAAAGAAAAGAGATGCAATAATAAATGATAAAGGGGAAATCACCACAGATTCCACAGAAATTCAAACCATCATCAGAGAATATTACAAACAACTCTATGCACATAAACTAGTAAACCTGGAAAAAATGGATAAATTCCTGGACACCTGTGTCCTCCCAAGCCTAAACAAGGAGGAAGCTGAAACTATGAATAGACCGATAACAAGGTCAGAAGTCGAGGCGGCAATTAAGAGCCTACCATTCAAAAAAAGCCCAGGTCCAGATGGGTTCACAGCCAAATTCTACCAGACACACAAAGAGGAGCTGGTACCATTCCTTCTGAAACTATTCAAAATAATCCAAAAAGAGGGAATCCTTCCCAAATCATTTTATGAGACCAACATCATCCTGATACCAAAACCTGGCAGAGACCCAACAAGAAAAGAAAACTTCAGGCCAATATCCATGATGAACATAGATGCAAAAATCTTCAATAAAATACTGACAAACCCATTGCTACAGCCCATCAAAAAACTTATCCATCATGATCAAGTAGGATTCATCCCGGGGATGCAAGGCTGGTTCAACCTATGCAAGTCTATAAACATAACTCAACACATAAACAGAACCAAAAACAAAAACCACATGATTATCTCAATTGACGCAGAGAAGGCATTTGACAAAATTCAACAGCCCATTATGCTAAAAACCCTCAATAAACTTGGTATTGACAGAACGTATCTCAAAGTAATAAAAGCTATTTACGACAAGCCAACAGCCAATATCATACTGAATGGGCAAAAACTGGAAGCATTCCCTTTGAAATCCGGCACTAGACAAGGATGCCCTCTTTCACCACTCCTATTCAGTATAGTACTGGAAGTTCTAGCCAGAGCAATCAGGCAAGAAAAAGAAATAAAGGGTATTCAAATAGGAAAGGTGGAAGCCAAACTGTCTCTATTTGCAGACGACATGATAGTATACCTAGAAGACTCCATCGTCTCAGCCCAAAAACTCCTGAAACTGATAAGCAACTTCAGCAAAGTCTCAGGATATAAAATCAATGTGCAAAAATCACAAGCATTCCTATACACCAATAACAGACTTAAAGAGAGCCAAATCAACGACAAACTGCCATTCACAATTGCTACAAAAAGAATAAAATATCTAGGAATACAACTTACAAGGAACGTAAGGGACCTCTTCAAGGAAAACTACAAACCATTGCTCAACAAAATAAAAAAAAACACCATGAACTTCACATGGAACCAAAAGAGAGCCCGCATAGCCAAGTCAATTCTAAGCAAAAAGAACACAGTGGGAGGCATCACACTACCAGGCTTCAAACTATACTACAAGGCTACAGTAATCAAAACAGCATGGTACTGGTACCAAAACAAAGATACCAACCAATGGAACAGAACAGAGGCATCGGAGGCAACACAACATATCTACAACCATACAATCTTTGATAAACCTGACAAAAACAAGCAATGGGGAAAGGATTCCCTGTTTAATAAATGGTGTTGGGAAAACTGGCTAGCCATGTGCAGAAAGCAGAAACTGGACCCCTTCCTGACACCTTACACTAAAAATTAACTCCAGATGGATTAAAGACTAAAACATAAGACCTGGCACCATAAAAACCCTAGAAGACAATCTAGGCAAAACCATTCAGCACATAGGAGTAGACAAGGACTTCATGACCGAAACACCAAAAGCACTGGCAACAAAAGTCAAAAGAGACAAATGGGACCTAATCAAACTCCACAGCTTTTGCACAGCAAAAGAAACAGTCACTAGAGTGAATCGGCAACCAACAGAATGGGAAAAAATTTTTGCAGTTTACCCATCTGACAAAGGGCTGATATCCAGAATTTACAAAGAACTCAAACAGATTTACAAGAAAAAAACAAACAAGCCCATTCAAAATTGGGCAAAGGATATGAACAGACACTTTACAAAAGAAGACATACATGAGGCCAACAATCATATGAAAAAATGCTCATCATCACTGGTCATTAAAGAGATGCAAATCAAAACCTCATTGAGATACCATCTCATGCCAGTTAGAATGGCGATCATTAAAAAATCTGGAGACAACAGATGCTGGAGAGGATGTGGAGAAAAAGGAACACTTTTACACTGTTGGTGGGAGTGTAAATTAGTTCAACCATTGTGGAAGACAGTGTGGCGATTCCTCAAGGCCTTAGAAATAGAAATTCCATTTGACCCAGCAATCCCATTACTGGGTATATATCCAAAGGACTATAAATTGTTCTACTATAAGGACACATGCACACAAATGTTCACTGCAGCACTGTTTACAATAGCAAAGACCTGGAACCAATCCAAATGCCCATCGATGATAGACTGGACTGGGAAAATGTGGCACATATACACCATGGAATATTATGCAGCAATCAAAAAGGATGAGTTCGTGTCCTTTGTAGGGACATGGATGAACCTGGAGAACATCATTCTCAGCAAACTGACACAATAACAGAAAATGAAATACCGCATATTCTCATAGGCGGGTGATGAAAAATGAGAACACATGGATAAAGGGAAGGGAGTACTACACACTGGGGTCTATTGGGGGGAATAGGGGAGGGACAGCGGGCAGGGGGAGCTGGGGAGGGATAGCCTGGGGAGAAATGCCAAATGTGGGTGAAGGGGAAGAAGGCAGCAGAACACACTGCCATGTGTATACCTATGCAACTATCTTGCATGTTCTGCACATGTACCCCAAAACCTAAAATGCAATTAAAAAATAAAATGATTTCTGTTAGTGGATGAAGTTTCCGACAAAAAGTACAAAATTACAGACACACATAAGTATACTAATTCAAAAGATATTTGAATAAAAGCTTGAAGGAAATATGTAAATGCAAAAGGCAATTCTGCTTTAGTGACAACCTTGGATTATAGATTTTTCTTCTATCTTTGACCATTTTACAATTTTTCTTCAAAGACTATTAGTTTTCTATTTAAAAGATTGTAAGATCAAAGCAAAGGGAAGAGTTGTCCAAATAGAATCCAGAAGTAGTCTTTCTTGAAATTTTCAAGTCTACTGTGTATCAGTTCAAAATAATGCTCGAAGACCTGGGTCATCGTGGACTCCAGAGAGCGTGCGGGCATGAGCAGGTCCCTCATCGTGAGCTCCAGCTCAGCATCGGGATGAGCCGCAGTGGTGGCTCTGCTCTGCTGGGGGTGCAGTGCTGGCAGCAGACCTGGGCAGCAGCAGCTTGGCGGGGCAGCTGGGCTCCTGGTGAAGGACAAGGTGCTGGTCTTCCTCAAGAGGACACTGGAGCAGTCCCAGTGTGGCTTCAGCAACACGGTGATGCATATCCTGCGACCACACAGCATCCGTGACTACAAGGCCTACAAAGTGCTGGATGACCTTGAGCTCCGACACGGCATTAAAGACTATTCCAACTGGCCCACCATCCCTCGAGCAAACCTCAATGGTGAGTCTGTGAGGGGCTGTAACATTCTTCTTCAGATGTGCCAGAATGGGGACCTGATAGGAGAACTGAGAAAGCTGGGGATCCACTTCACCCTTTTAGATAAAAAGAAAGACCAAGGCTCAAAGTAAAGCTACCCAGGTCCGCAGTGAGCAGAGAGGGAGCATTCATGTCAGAGACTGCCAGGAAATCCTTACCGATTTTGGTTTTCACTATTCAGACAACTGCTTGCACTGATCACCTCGGTTTGCAAACAGCCAGGTGATTTTAGTTTTTCTAGTGTCTGAGCTAGTAATATTTTACTGTGAACTTCATCGCAATCACTTCACTGTAGTAATTCAATGTTGTATTATAATATTGCTGTAAACAAAATTCATTCTTATATTGTCATTTATTCTTTGTCTGATTCAGGAGCTAAACTAGGAGCTTTAGAATCATTATTCATGACTCCTTTGCAAATGACAGTCTGCAAAGACAATACATCCCCCCAAATTAAGAAACTGTAATAAACGAGATGTTGTTTTTTAAAACAACTGCCAACACAGGGGGAAAAAAACAAAAATATGCTCAGTTGAACTTTTACCTATTCATGTCGCTAGCACTTCAGAAGGTGGTATCAACAATTAACAAGAGAAAATGTAAGCTTCAAGATGGCAGACAAAGCACATGCATTTACCACCTGCCCCTCCTGAAACCCCACAGAAGAAAACAGAAAGAGCCAATTGAAATAAATCCCGTAACAGTAAAAAGAATAAAGGAGGTCACCAACAAATGAGAAAATGAGAGGCTTTTTTTGGAGGAAAGAAGGAGCAGAGAGGATTAGGATGTAAGATAAAATAGCTACAGAAAGCCACAGCCTAGAATTTGTTACCAGGGGCTGGAAGCCAGTCTACCTGAGAGAATCTGAAGATGTGAACCATATACTACACACATAACTGAGGATGAATGTGAAAATAGGGAGATTAAAGATCTGTATGTAGAATACCTAATTCTTGGTACCTACCATTCTAGTCCTATAATCCCAAGCACAAAGCAGTGAGCCTGGATTTGCCTCTAGCTAAAACACTGAAAAGATCTTCCCTAAAGAAATTAAACTGGGACAGGCAAAGGCTTCTAGTGCAAGTAAATTGCTTTCTGGCATCTGAAGGGCCTTTACCCTGCCAGCCACGTACCTATCTGCTCATCCCAAGGCAAAGCCTGTCAGTCACAGATTCCCTCCGCAAGCCCTAGCCACAAGAAAAAAAATCTCTCAGTCTGAATTCTTAACTTGAGAAAGCAATCTAACAGGAAAGTAGTCCATCTTACATTTAAAAAGATAACAAGCCAGTACCAGTTAACTAGTTCATCTTTCTGAAACATGGATAATTTAAGGCTTAGCAGACATGGTGAGGACAGAAGGCCCAAAACAAGCAAATAGAATTTAACTCCAGATGAAACAGATAATTTAGAATAGAACTTTTAGAAAGCTCTAATTTAATATAGAGATTCAAGAAGACATTAAATACTTATAAAAAGGGCAAGATCTATGAAACAAAGTATGAACTAAAGAAACAAGTATAATAAAAAATGTTCTTGAAGATTAAGCATATGTTTACTGAAAATAAAAGTTTCAAGAGGACAGAAATATATAATTTAAAAAATTTTTCAGAACAAAGAAGAGTAAATTCTCTGTAAGTCAGAAATTACCAAAAAAAAAAAAAAAAGAAAGAAAGAAAAAGAAACAAAGCAGAGATTAAAAATATAAGAAAAGTAGAAAAGGAATTTTCCAAAGATTAAAAAAAAAATTCCCAGAATTCAGAACATGAGTCTTCAGAGTTTAAGCGCCTTAACACAAGGTGGCAGCCATGAAACAACAATGTTTCTCTGCAAGAAGCCTGCCATAAGAAAGAGTATAGTTCTTTAGACTTCAGCATTCACATCAAAACCAGGTTCCTCCTGGGAGATTCCAAGCCAAGGACAGAACACAGCAGAGGAATCAGAATAGAGCTATTCCTACCTAATGAGGGTCTATTCTAACAGGGAATTTTTACCCTGGGAATTGCCATTGCCCTGCCTAAGACTTTCTCAGAGCTGCATTATGATCTAAGACTGTTCACACCCAATCTTTCTTCCTTCCTTCTCTTCATTCACTGATGACAGATCTGAATCACCGTCCAAAGGTCCTCTCAACCTAATTCTGCACTTTCTTCCCTTAATCCTTCACAGGTGTTCTTCCTCGATAAATCTCTTCAATGTCCAATTCCATCTTGGAATGTGTTTCTCAGAGAACCTTAACTAACAAAACAATAATTGAAAAGAGTCTCACATGTAACTGCATTATATTGTGATTGTCAGAACACCAAAGATAAAGTGGGGGCGGGGGGAAGCAAGTTTCCATAGAAAAAAAGATCAGGTTACCAAAAAAGTCAAATTTCCTTCGGACTTCTCACCAACAACATTAAAAGATAATATATTGATATTCATAATTAGAAAACAATATGCAGTAATCCCTCTATAACTGTGAGTTCTGCATCCACAGAATCAACCACAGATCAAAATATTTGGGGGGGAAAAAAGACAAAAAATAATACAAATAGAGAAGGGGCTTCAAGACAGCTGACTACAGGCATCTGACATTTGCCTCCTCCACAAAGAACAACCAAAACAGCATATAGATAATCACACTTTGAATAGACCACCTAAGAGAGAAAAATGGAATTGAATAGAGAAGTGACAGGAAATACCTGAGGCATGGAAGGAGAAGGAATTTGGCAGCCAGCTCAGCTGGGTGCCCAAAGAGGCTCCCCAGTGTGGAAAAAGGGTGAAGGATCCCCAGGCATCCACATTCCCACTGCAAAATCCTGCGACATTAGCCACAGGACAGCCCCTCAACCCTCAGACTAGCATAAGGAGCTGCCTAGACATAGCACATTAGCATTGCTCTAGAGAGGGAGCTCATGCGGAGTACCACACAGCACCAACCACACTAGGCCTTTTGCTCTAGGGTTCAATAGCCCCTGCATCTCCACACCCCTGAAGCTGCACTGATATTCACCTGCATTCACCAAGATGACTGCAGTGGCATAGTATCAACTGGACCCGGTGGAATGACAGGGTCCCCAGCACTCTAACACATAAAGTATCCTGTACTCTAAGGACAGAGCACTGTAGCACACAAGACAGGCTGCCCCCAGGACAAAGGGAGCCAAAGTGCTGCAAGTTCCCCAGAGCCTGAAGCCTGCCTGCCTAATGCTACTGCCATTGATAAAAACCCTGCCCCCATCAGCAGCAGGACCACAGCACAACTGCATGAACTCAACTGCAGGGCTTTCCAGTGCACCAACACTGCTGCCACCACCAGGGACCCAAGTGTGCACCACTGGCAGCAACCCTCTGCCCCTCAGCAGCACAGCTGCCATGCACTTGCACACACTCTGAGGACTGGCTATTTCTGTTGTTGCCATCATTGCTAGAGGTTGAAGTGTGTCCTCCCCTAGAGCCTAACAGTTGTCTACCTGCTGCTGTGGGCACTGACAACAACCCCATCCACACCAGCAAAAGGACAGCAGAACACTAGTGTGTGCCCTGGGGATTGTCTCTCTCCACTCACTACAATGCAGCTGCCACCATCCAAGTGCTCTGCCAGGAAACCTAAGGGTTACCCTGATCTGTCCAACACAAACTGCACCCATGTGCACCACAGTATAAACTGAGGACAGGCTATTCCCAAACACACCATCCAGGGGCATGGGAATCACCCTAACCCGTCCACCCACCACTGCTGACATCTGTGTACTCCTCCTCGGGACCCAAAGATGGACTTACTTAGCCTGCCACTAATATCACAGCTGGTACCCACTGGCACATGCCCTGAAGGCATGGGGACTGGCCCACCCAGCCCATCACAGTCATTTCTAAAACAAGTGTGTGCCACCTGGAAACTCAAAAGTTGTCTCACCACCACTACAGACATTGCCTATGATACACACACTGCCCAAAGACGCAACAACCCACCCCCATGGCCCACCAATGCAACTACCCAGCACCCAAGAAAGCCACCCAGAAGCCCAAAAGGCTACTTGAACATGTTAATACCTATACCTCTGTATGGCCACCCAGAGGCCCAAGCACTGCCACACTCAGTTCACTGTTCCCACTACTGGGCCCTGAGGACTGGCCCACTTGGCATCCCTGTATCCAATAAAACTTCACCACAGCCTCCACTGAGAACTGCAGCCTAAGCAACTGAGGTAATCACATATACCACTGAAGCTGCTTAAAGTCTAAGAAACTGCATAGAGACTACACTACTGCATGCACCCAGAATCGAAGCTCAAGTACCCTACCCAACCAATAACATAGGCACACTTTCAGGAAAAAGTCTTGCCCTACAAAAGCTAATACAAAAAATTTTAAAAAGTGATTGTTATACCAGACATGCAAATATCAATGTACAGGAGACAAGAAACATAAAAAAGAAAGGAAATGTGACACAACCAGAGAAACAAAATAATCCTCTAGCATTATTCCAATAAAAATGAAATGCATAAGATGCTGGAGAAATAATTCAAAATAATGATATTAAAGCTCAGTGAGATACAAGAGAACACAGATGAACAATACAAAGAAATCAGAAAAACAATTCAGGATATAAATGCAAAATTCACAAGATAGATAGATATTTTTAAAAACCCAGATATCCTAGAACAAAAGAATTCAATACATGAAATCACAAATATATTTTAAAGCTTCAACCATAGACTATATCAAGCTGAGGAATGAGTTTCACAACTTAAACACAGGTCTTTTGAAATAACTCAGTATCACAAACACATACAAAAAGAAAAATTAGTAAGATTGAACAAAGCCTATATGACCTACAGAACACCATGAAGTAACCAAATACTGAAATTCTGGGTGTTCCAGAAAAATAAATAGAAGGCTAAAGGCACAGAAAACCCAGTTAATGGTCGGGTGCAGTGACTCATGCCTGTAACAATTTGGAAGGCTGAGGTGGGCAAATCATCTGAGGTCAAAAGTTCAAGACTAGCCTGGGCAACATGATGAAATCCCATCTCTACTAAAAATACAAAAATTAGCCAGGTGTAAAAGCACACACCTGTAATCCCAGCTACTTGAGGGGCTGAGGCAGGAGGACTGCTTGAACCTGGGAGGTGCAAGTTGCAGTGAGCTGAGATCATGCAACTGCACTCCAGCCAGTACAACAGCATGAGATTCCATCTCCAAAAAAAAAAAAAAATTAGGAAAAAAAAGAAGAAGAAAACCTATTTAATAAAATAATAGCTGAAAACTTCTCACATATAACAAGAGATTTAAACATCTAGATACAGGAAGTTCAGAGAGTCCAAATATGTAAAACCCAAAAAGGTATTCTCCACAGCACATTATAGTCAAACACAAAGTGAAAAACAAAGAGAATTCCAAGAACAAGAAAAAAACAATCTAGTTACATAAAAGGGAATCCCCATCAAAATAATGAGATTTCTCAACAGAAACTTTATAGCCCAGGAGACAATGAGATAATATTTGAAGTGCTCAAAGAAAAAAAAAAACAAAACTGTCAACCAAGAATACTATACCCAGCAAAGTATTCCTTCAAAAATGAAGGAAAACCAAAGTCTTTTCTAGATAAGCAAAACCTAAGAAAATTTATCACCACTAGAACAGACCCAGAAGAAATGCTTAAGGCAGTCCTATACATGGAAGGGAAAGGACAATACCTATCACCATGAAAACACAAAAGTATAAAACTTACTGGTAAAGCAAAGACAAATAAAGAACCAAAAGGATTCAAATGTCAAATATTACCACTACAAAAAAAAAAACCCCACAATAATAAACAACAGAAAAAGAAACATAAGATATACAAAATAATCAGAAAACAATTGTTTTTTTTTGAGACAGAGTCTCACTCCATCACCAGGCTGGAGTGCAGTTGGCACCATCTCAGCTCACTACAACCTGAACCTCCCAGGTTCAAGCGATTCTCCTGCCTCAGTCTCCCCAGTAGCTGGGACTACAGGCATGTGCCACCATGCCCAGCTAATTTACATATTTTAGTAGAGACAGGGTTTCACCATGTTGGCCAGAATGGTCTCAATCTCTTAACCTTGTGAGCTGCCCACCTCAGCCTCCCAAAGTGCTAGGATTACAGGCGTGAGCCACTGCACCTGGCCCTAGGAAACAATTTTTAAATGCCAAAAATAATTTCACCACATATGAACAACGATGTAGAACATAAAGAGATTAAACTTTCCACTTAAAAGGTGTAGACTGAATGAATTAATTTAAAACCGGAACCCAACTATATGCTACCTACAAGAAAATCACATCACCTGTAAAGACAAGTAGACTGAAAGAGCTAAAAAAAATATTCCAGATGAAGAGAAACCAAAAGTGAGCAAGAGTACTTATATGAGATAAAGAGACTTTAAGTCAAAAACAGTATAAAGAGGCAAAGAAGAACATTACAAAACAATAAAGGAATCAATTCAGCAAGAGATTATAACAATTCTAAATACCTATGTACCCAACAATGTAGCACCTAGAAGAAATATCTGAAGCAAATATTATTAGATCTAAAGGGAGAGACAGACTCCAATGCAATAAT